ACCTCTTCAAGGATCCTGTCATAATAATAATAATTATATCGATTCTATTACTATCAAAATAAGGGATAGAGATATTTTATTATGTACATATAATTGAATAAAATAGAGAAATAGATGTTCCGAAATATGGAGAATAAAAAACATTAAGCGTATATATTTTTAGCTCGCGATAGCAAACGAGAAATTACTAGACGAGTTGATAAGAATTTACGCGTATCGAAAACGAACTCATTGCGTGGGTGAGCCCCTGAGGGAATGACTTATATTTAGCAGCTCGTACGTTAACGTCGAGTATCGCTTTATTGCAACGGTCTACTCAGCTACTCTCGTTCAGCCCGGTCACGCTTTCTCCGGGCAATGTGAGACGGAGCTCTGTTTTTTCTGTTTGTACAATCTGCGTCAATTATACTTTACTTCTTCGTGAAAGCGATACTCGTACCGGTATCACCTGTGAAAGATCTCTGTTTTACTCGCTACAACATTTGCAACAATTAGTTTGTAGTTTGATCGAATATTTAAATTGGTTTATTAGTGGACTGCGTATTGTATGCATTTATGACGTACAATAATATGGAAAACATACGTAAAATATATGTACATATGTATGTTGAATATATTCTACAATTATCATAATGTTATTGTTAAGTGCCCATACCTTTTGGTTACGTTTAGCATGTGTTTATTATATTAGTCTATATCATAAATCCATAAAATCCGCAGTCTAGTTATTAGCAAAGTAAAGGCTATTGGTTATGCGTGTATCGTTTTAGGAGTATTTATAGTTTGTACAAATAAATTTGATAAGCTGTAATGTTTCGGAACGATTTAAATTATTTTTCGTAAAAGTAAATGTTCAAGTACCATCTGTCGGTAACAAATTCGTTGATAAAAACGACGGTCCAAGGTAATTTTGTTTTTGCCTGTTTTTCATATTTTTATTTTATTTATTTTATTTAACATCTTTAATTGCACAAATTCTTCATCCGTTATACATGCAAGGTAACATTCATAAAACAAAATTAAGTCACGCGAAGAGGCGAGGAGCGGCTTAGGTGCTGTTTCTAAATCTAACCTCAAATATTTGAATATCGGTTTTATTTATCGAGTAAGTCTTATGTGACGAGTTCTGATTTTTGAATCTGCAACTCGAGCCCATCTTACGTGATTATTTCGAAAGTGGTTTTTGTCAAATTCTTCCATCGTTAGTAGATGTGGTGGGGCTATGAATTTCCATTCTTTACACCAGTCATGCTTTTGCAATCTTGTAAGAAAAGTTGGAATTGTATTATCGAAACTCATACGACTCGAAATGTTTGCAGACAAACGCATGGTTACAAAAAATGCAATTCATTATTTACTTGTTTATTTAATGTCTTTCGTCGTGGGCAACGAATCGACAAAGAGCTCGACGTCGAGAATTCAAGCTTTTGTTCTTGACGCGGCTGATGTGCAAGAGATCATTCGACCATGGAGCCAATGATACATGGAGCATCAAGGACAAATTATTCCTTTACTGCAAGCACGATTTCCCCTACTACTTGACTACCTCTGCCTTGCTTTGCGCCTACGTGCTTATATTTTAGGTAATCTAACCGACGACGGCCCTGAATATTGTTTTTTAACCGTACATGCAGGTTCAGGGACTTGGAATCGGTTTGAACGCCATGTAATGCTAATAACTTTTTAATAAAAAACGAGCGACGGCTAAAACCTCTTGGATGTTACTCAGAAGGGTGGCCTTGACAACGTATATCAAGGTCAAGGTTATCGGAGCTGCCTCCCCTAAACACATGCTTACCAAAACTATATTTCACGTAGGTTCACTTAGGTTTGTAAACAGTGCGCTAACCTCTTCAGATCTGTTGTATTCGTAACGTTTGTACGCTTTAAAACTATATTAACATACAAAGTAATTCGTTTCTTAAAATAACGAATATCACGTATCCACAGTAGATCTCTGTTTAACCGTTTTTCGTGACAGTTAGTGACATCTGTCAAAAGATATTATAAGTACATAGTTCGGTACTCGGTAGTTTCATATAAAAATACTTATCCTCTACTTGGAGACTTTAAAAACTTTCATTCATAATCTGAATTGTGTTAGTTTACTTTAATAACAGGTAAATAAATATCATTGAATATTACAGATACATACCATTGTAATTATTACAATTCGTATATATATTGTAATATTTTTATTCAATCACACACTTATTGGATGGTCAATAGTTGGTGACACGGGATAATATTCATTTTATTCGAAGAAAAATATTCAGGGCTGACGAGAATTAATTTTGTATTTAGTCAAAGCAATTACTATTAAGATTCTCCCGCCTAATGATAAATCCAAGAGAGTTCAAAGACGCATCATTTTTACATATTTAACCTAACAATTTACGAACTTTTAAGATTCAAATATTCGAAGATCAAATTGATATCGTATCGAATATCGTATCGAGCAATCGACTGATCGAGAAATTCGTCGAAAATCGAAATTGTGAAAGTACATAATGGCGGCCAGTGGACACTAGTAACAGCTGTGTGGTGACTTACTAGATACTCGACAGTGACGTTCACGTGTTTTTTAGCCGATTCCCACGTTCGCGTACATTATTTTATTAACTCACGCTCACCAATGACAAATCGAGCAGATTAAATTCGTGCTTAGTGTTCAGCGAAAGGGATAAGTCCAAGTGTTTGCGAAAATTATAGGTCATAGTGTCGCAATTTTCAAGTTTCATTGTATCGACTGAAAATGTTTACTAATTTTTAAGAGATTTAAAATTTAAAAAATCAACTAATGGACAAGAATACTCGTCGATCTTCTAGAGAAAACTTCGTGAAGATGTCAAATTGCAATCGCAACAAGGGTCCAATTCCACCTCGATGGCTTCACTGTCCACGCAAAGCGGTCAAATTAATCCAAAATAAGTTTCTCGCTTTCAAGACACCGTTGTCGTCTGCGTACGACAATCAGGTACCAGAAGAATGTCGTTTCACATTGGATATGTTGTTCGCATCATTAAAGAGCCAAAAGCTAAAGTTAGGCCTGTGGATCGATCTAACAAATACTTCAAGATTTTACGATAAGAAAAGTTTGGAAGCGTATGGTTGTAAATATTTAAAGCTACAATGTAGAGGTCACGGCGAGACTCCTTCAGAAGAACAAACATGGACTTTCGTACAAGTCTGTAAAAATTTCATATTGTACAATCCATTGGAAATTATTGGTGTTCATTGTACGCATGGTTTCAACAGAACTGGCTTCCTTATAATTAGTTATTTGGTAGAAAATGATGGTACCAGCGTCGATGCTGGCTTGGTGGAATTTGCTACAGCGAGACCACCAGGTATATATAAAGCTGATTATATACAAGAGTTATTTAGACGTTACGATGACATAGAAGATGCTCCTGCACCTCCACCTAAGCCAGCATGGTGTCTGGAATATGATGATTCCAATGTGGAAGATACGGATGCAGGACCTAGCTTTGAAGGCGCTAACCGTAGTCAAACTTTACCTCCTGTTCAACAGAGAAAGCGTGAACACATTAATAGGAACCCTATATTCATGGCTGGTGTACCTGGTGTAACTGCCATTTTAGACGAACGAAAGTTAAGTGGAATACAAAGACGAGTTCAAGATATATGTTCTTGGAAAATGTCAGGATTTCCTGGTTCTCAACCAGTTTCTATGGATGAGGAAAATATTAGGTTGTTGCATGAGAAACCATACATGGTATCGTGGAAGGCAGATGGAACCAGGTTAGGTGAAAATGTAGTTGAAATATTTAAAACATCATTGAAACTCATTGCTCGTATTCACTTAGGTATATGATGTTGATACAAGCAGATGGAGAGATTTATTTTGTTGATAGAGATAATAGTGTGTTTCAAGTTACTGGTTTGACTTTTCCGCATCCAAGAGATGTATCTAGAACTCTTAGAGACACATTATTGGATGGTGTAAGTAGTCACTTGCTATTAAATTAATGGATTCTGGGGTTATTTAAAAAATAATGATACATATTGCTTGTCATGAAAAGCTCAACAAGTATTGTTTAAATTAATTTATTTTCATGTTTTGACTATAATATATTTCTTAGAGAATATTTTTAAATTAAATTTCATTTTATTAAGATAACTTCTAAAGAAATATTCATTGAAATATTTTTGTAGGAAATGGTGATTGATAAAGTAGATGGAAAAGAGATTCCCAGATATTTAGTGTACGATGTAGTTATGTATGATGGCAAAGATGTGAGTAAATTGCCATATCATCCGGATCGTTACTGTACTATCGAACGGGAAATTATGGGTGGTAGACATAAAGCACTCAAAGAGGGAAGACTGCGTAAAGAAAAGGAACCTTTCGCAGTACGGTTAAAATTCTTTTGGGATGTGACACAGGCGGCTAGTTTGTTAAGTGACAAGTTTGCCAAACAACTTGGTCATGAACCCGATGGTTTAATATTTCAACCATCTAAAGAACCATATTGTCCAGGACTATCTAAAGAAGTGTTGAAATGGAAACCCTTATCACATAACTCTGTTGATTTTAAATTGAAAATAGTTACAGAATCTGGTGTAGGAATTCTTCCAAAGAAAGTAGGACATCTATATGTGGGTGGAGCAGACATGCCATTTGGTCAAATGAAAGTCACCAAAGAGATAAAGGATTTGAATAACGCAATTATAGAATGCAAATTTGAAAATGGCCAATGGGTTTTCATGCGCGAAAGAACTGATAAATCATTTCCTAATTCTAAAACTACAGCTAAGTCTGTATGTAAAACTATCGGCAAACCTATAACAACGGAACGTCTTGTAGATTATATTAATAGACATAGATTTTTGCAAGATGATTCAGATCTTATGCCACCACCGAGCAACAGAAGATCATAAATCGCAGTCAATTAATTGCTGTTCCATCAATATTATTAGTTACTTAGAATTAAAGCATGGTACATTTATCGTAATGTTTAAAACAGTTTACAAGCATGAACTACTTTTGCCTAGCTCATTGTATTCGTAGAAAGTTGTTTTAATTGCTGTGAAATCTTACAAATTTGAAATTGTTCATTTAATAAAGAATCTTCATAATAATTCATGTGTAATTTCTTCCCATACCTCTTCTCTTACATCAAAGGGATCAAATTTTTAATTATATATTTAACATATTCTTTATCACAATACCCTTTCCATTACAATTTCTTTAGGAATTCAAAAAGATTATAATATTGTAATCTATTATTTTTTTATATTACAGATAGGACTGTATTATTGTGGTGTACAAAAGAACTGGCAGTAAAGGAGAAGCGATCGCTCCGTGTAAATATAGAATTTGATCATGCAACATTGGTACGTTGGTCTCCTGATGGCAAGGCTTTCATCATACATAAAGGTGTGGCAAACAATATTGAAGTATACAAGGTTTCCAAGAAATCGGATGGTACTCTGGCTTCGGCAACAAAGGCTCTAGAATTTCCAAAAGTAAGTATTTAAAATTTTTCTTTTCTAGTAATATTTTTCATACATATTTTATCTTACCAATGTTTCAGCGGCATACTGAAGATGTAGTCGGCATGGACATTGCAAGTACAGGAAAGTATATTATCACGTGCAGCAAAGCAAACGATCTTGTAATATGGGATCTTAAGGGCCAGATTCTTGCAACTATAGAACTGTATCTAGGATCTATTTATCGAGCACGTGTGTCACCCTGTGGTCGCTTCGTTGGCGCTTCTGGTAACGATTTAATTCACTTTATTCAATTTTTCACCAAACATTGTATTGTATATTAATAAGAATCTTAATTATAAACTGTTTTCTTTAGGGTTTACGCCAGACGTAAATATATTTGAAGTAGTATTCACGAAATCAGGAGATTTTAAGCAAGTAGCCAAGGCTTTCGACCTCGCAGGCCATTCATCTGGAATACTTGACTTCAATTTTAGTGCCGACAGTAGCCATATGACTACTGTATCGAAAGATGGAACTTATCGTTTATACAATACTAAAAGTAATAAAATAATTAAATCATAACTTTCATGCAAGTTAAAATCTGACTGTAGAATCTCATTATAACGATCAAGTTGTATATTTACAGTTGAATATATGAAAGGAGAGGATCCACACGTACTTTTAACCGGAACATGGGACACTGCAGCGACAGCAAGACTCGCTCTATCTCCTAATACCGAAGTTTTGGCAATAGCTCATGGATCCTCGTTAAGTTTTTACTCTACGATCGACGGTTCATTAGATAATACTATAGAAGATATTTTTTTGGGTATGTCTCTTGTCTATTTGTGCAATTAAAACGGTAATCTCGTTTCTCAAGATGCGCATGCATCGTAATTACGTAGAATGCGTAGTTGGACAATCATACTAATATAATATTATTACAGGTCCCATCACGTGTCTAGCTTTTGATGCCTTAGGAGAATACGTTTTGGTCGCCGGAGATAAACACATAAAAGTCTTCCACAATGTTACCGGTTATCGTGTGGCGATTGAGTCCGCTAAACGTAAACTCACGCAAAAGCAAACATCGGCGACGAAGGAACGCTTAGAGAAACTAATCGTCGACAACAGAAAGTTTCTTCAAGCAATGGGAGAGTCATGTTCTTAGTGAATGAATCATGACGTTTCCCATTTTTACGACGAATGATTTATGCGATTCGGATTGCATTTAAAGAAACATTCTTCCTCGCTCAAAGAAAGATTGTTTGTAACATATAATTTTTTAATGTACTTGAATAAAGGGGTTCATACGATGCTTGTTTCTTTAAATAATTTAAGAAAAAATTGTTGCCTCAATGAATATCAACATTGAAAATAATATTGACTTTATTGATACAGTCGCCAATCAGAATGCATATTCACCCCACGTGTCTGAGTAATTAACACATGTTGCCCTGTTCACCGCTACCGCAAGGACATCAGGATCGTCTTTAAATGAATGAAAATTCATCTAATGGGCGAGGTTAGTTACTACTTACATCAGTTATTCCTTCATCTGTTTTAATAAATTTTTTACTGTATATATGTTTATACCAATTTACAGGAGACATTATTATAAAAACATGATACTATTGTAAGTAAGATCATAAATAATGGAACTTGAACATTATATACACGCGTTACTATACAAAATGTTTTCTCACATTAACGAAGAAATGTTAAAATCGATATATTTTCAAACAAAATTTAAAAATAAAACTAACTTTGTTTCCACTAAAACCACTAACGATAACAAAACGAAATTATGTCAATCTTAAGTTTAGATGCACAGCATCTACTACACTATTTTCTACGAATAAAAATTTACAAACAACAGTATACTAAATCGTAAGTATCACAAGGTCTTTTCCTTTTGTCTTTGAGCACTAGCAATCTTCGTGACGCGACAAGAGCCAGTGTAGCCTGAAGGTCGCTTCTTAGAATTTGATAATTTGCCCTTAAACTGACTCGTCTTAAATTGTTTGGTGGTACAGGTCGCCCACCAGCAAAGGCAAACCTAAAGTTGTATCAGAGAAGTTACATTAGTTGACAATAAATTATCAATGACGATTTAGAGTTGAATGTAAGTATTGGTATTGTTGTGGCCCTGTCAGATAACTAATTTTATTTGGTTCCTATATTTTTAGGTTATTTACTTGCTTACCTAATCTCTCGTCTGGGTCCTCGTAAAGTAGAATCGGGAAATGCTGATTGTCGATCCCATAACATTCGACTAGCCGCCACAGGTCTGATGTTAACGTATTTCACCTTACTTTTGATAGTTATAGGAAGTAGGGTGGGTTTCCTAAACGCATTCACTGTACTCTTATAATCGGCTGGTAGGTACGGCAGTAAGGAATCCCCGTAATGTTCCATAAAAACCGTAGTATTCAAGTTATGAGACTGTGACTTTACGAGGGCACAGATAGCTAACTGAAAAGAGTATGACATTATTAATGACGAATACAATTGCATATAATATATAATTTCATATCTCATAAACAAACTGTGTTAAATTTAATTTTTTGTAAATTTAGGATAAATATATTCAGTTACTTGTAATTAACATTATATTTTTATGTACGACTGGTCGACGAAGATGACTTATACCATCAAGTCTAAGCAATAATAAAATATACTTTTCCCTTTATGTTTACTTACAGCTATCCTTTGCCAAAGAGCAGAGCCAGGTGGTGCGTACTTTAGAACATTTTCCACGGAAAGCGCAGATTCTGACTCGTGTTGAAAAAATATTAATGGCTGAACACTCGCCAGCAATTCCATAGCTGTCGTCTTTTTCTTGCTTCCAACGGTAATTTCTTTCTCTTCCCTTAAAAGGACGTTCTCCAATGTGGGAATATACCTTTCAACGGATATGATTCTTTTTTATAATTAGACGTTCATTAAATTATATTTAACAGCGAAAAAAATATATTTACTTATCAGCAACGGACGGCCAACGAAGCATTAGTTTCAGTGCGCATTCCTTGAAAAGCGCTTCCAGATTTTGATTGATAAAACTCTGTCCTAAAAGTAACTCTAACAGTAGCTCGGTCAACTTATCTACCTGTAATAGACGATATCAGAAGTCTCGAACTATTCTACCTTAACATAAAGTTAGCCATTAGAATTCCACGTGATCTTACTGCAGAATATTACCGAAGTTAAGTGATATGGATAAACAGCTTCACTGTTACTTGCGATTGCAATGATAAGCTGGCATGTTCGAGTAGATACTCTGGTGTATTGTGCATTATTTGATATCACCATGGACCTAGCAATAGACATCAATTTATCTATAACACCTTCGCCACCCAAATGTGCATTTGTTGCACAATCATTAATTAAGACCTATAAATATATACTATAAGAATTTTGGACTTAATGCAGGCTTCATATATACATATGAAGATTGAAATGAGTTTAATAATAACTGTAACGCTTATAATTAATTATAGTGTAAGTTAATTTGAGATTATCTTACCTGGAATGTTTTTTGAGACCCATTGAATAAAGTCTTTAATGCACGTTTTGCATAATTGTTACGTGCTTCAGCAAGTCTGGCATCACATATTTCTGATTCTGAAATAAAAGCATAATCGTGACATTACTTAAGAATCATAAATAATGTTAATATCAAATAAGGCCTTGATGGATTGGAAAACTTTACCTTGAATAAAAGGTACATTGCTCTGTGATATACTAAGTGGATCGTTTATTGCTTGTACTAGATTAATAATACATTCATTAGGAACAAACACTCTGGCCTCTGTGTGATACTCTGGCAAAAATTCTGGTGCACCCAAAATTGGATCTACATCGCAAAGGTTGGTAATCACAGCATTTACATCTGTGGATGTCAAACGTTTTCTCTTGCTATGTTTTAGTCTTGTTACACATTTCTGAAAATACATTTTGTACTTAATAATCTGCATACATTAAGTGTAATGGTTGTATAAACAGAAATGTACATATAAAATACATATAAAGGCATAAATAAGCTCGTAATTATATACTTGAAAATCTGTATAACTAAAAGTCTTATTATATATGAATGATAATTATACATACATGTAGAACTTCTCTTAGACGATAAGATGCATCCTCTGCCAATCGCCGCAATAATGAATCAGGCAGAGGATGCATTCCTAATTCTTCTCCAATTGCAGATATCCAATCAGTGCTGAGCACTGCATATCTCCTCGAGTTATTGTCGGTTGCATTATTGCTGTTAGTATCCCCATTATTGTTAACAAAAGAGTTACTATATCCTGAGGTAGCTTGATTTGTCAACATTTCTTTCATGATTTCACTTATTTTCTTTACAATAACCGTATACAATTACACTCTGTACTGCAGCTTTCAATCATTAGTAAAAACAGTCAAACTTGCAAAACTTTAACTTAATTTTAACTTCGGTTGTAACATAACGGTTGGTATTTTTTTAGATTATATTTCTTTCAAAAATAAGTTTTTCATTTGCAATGTTTTTAAAAACAATATGGCTGACGTAATGTAAAATGCATTCATTTATAAATACGCGCCGAAGATTTCAACGAAAGTGAATAAAAAGTAATCGTGTGTCATAGAAGGTTTATTTCGTTGTAAAAATAACGTTACATTCGTTTCACTGAACTCTAACTGTCAAAGACACACTGGCGGATCAAGTCGGTATAAACAGCGTTGATTATCCTCATAGTAACTTCGTGAAAAACAGTGGTTATATTCAGTGAATCACGCTACAACAGCGTTCAGTAAAGTACGCCCATCACTGTTGAATATAGTGATTTCTAGTAATATGAATCATGATCAGTGATCACTTGCCCACTGAATACACCATTATAATAACAATCTCGGAAAATAATCAGAGATGGGCAAAACCCTAGGCTTCGAATAGATTTAAAGTTTGCCGATGTGTTTGTCTCGTTTCCTTCTTTGGAAAATGTTCAAAAGAGGAAACCCGACAAACATCTCGGCAAACTTCAGATTTATTCGAAGCCTAGGGTTTTGCTCATCTCTGAAGATAATGCAACCAGTCGCGATTCCTTATGTTTGAGTAACATAACTTAAACAATCAGAAAGAATCGCATACGTTGTTTTTAGGGACTCGTATAATTCTGAGAGAGAAGATAACGATAACGTGATTCCTGCGAATGTAACTGAAATTTTTGAAATGAAAATATGATACCTTGCGATCAAATTTTCTTAGGTTTATGGTTGCGTGACATGGCCGAAACCCGGCGGGAATAGCGACATGAGCGCTGCGTCGTTTTTATTAGTAATTTTGTTTCGTATGCTTCGTAAACCTCGCATGTTTGTTCTATTATGGATTCGATGAAATAAAACTGTTCGATCGTAGGTGTTTCGTGCGCATTATTTATTTGTAGCATCGTTTGTTAGATTGGTCAACAGTGTGAACTAGCCTTGTGAAAAACGACGATATTTTAGCGGCACGGTCCGCCATTATTGGCGTTCAGGGCAGCGTTCACCGAAGGTTTCTCTTGTTTACAGTGCGAAAACTACTCCTACAACTTAAACGTTCACAAAATCTGCGATGTAAGTAACGCAAATTATTTGTCTGTTTCTTTAATAACCGGTTTCTTGTTGCAACCTTGATAACCTTGTTGACGGGTGTTTTCATGTGGGCATAGGGCACGCAGTCGTAAAGACAGCACGGGCAAAAGCGACTCCGAGGCCACCGACAAAGAGAACAAGAGGGAAAGAGGTCGAGAAAGGGAAAGAAAGAAACGTGCTGCCTCTTCAACCAGTAGCGGCAGTAGGTGAGATATTATTAATTGTTCTCAACCAATTTGTAATGCTTTAACTGGAAATTCTATGTACTACATTTTCATTGTTTCTGTTCGACAGTTCCTCCGACAGCAGTTCTGGATCATCGTCCACGAGTAGTGGAAGTAGTTCCAGATCGAGCTCTACATCTAGTAGCTCCTCTAGTAGCTCTGGAAGTTCCTCTGGGAGCTCCAGGGATAGAGGAAGGAAACGAAGTCGAAGCAAAAGTGTAGATGCTTCGCGGAGACATGACAATAAGGAGAAGGAAAGGGAGAAAGAAAGGGAACGAGAGAGGGATAGAGATAGGGACAGGGACAGGGAAAAGGACAAAAAGAAGAGTAGTAATTCTGTAGTCGACAAACCAAAACCCAAGGGACGATCTAGGTAAATATATATTGGGTCTGATAAATACGGATAAATCTAATGGTTTTCCTTGTAATTTTTTTCTTAATTCGATTTGGTTTGTAGATCACCTTCACCACGTAGAAAACGCAGAGAAAGGTCACCCATTCCCAGACCAACAAAAATACATATTGGACATTTGACTCGTAATGTCACTAAGGAACATATTATGGAAATCTTTTCAACATATGGTCAGATTAAAATGGTCGATTTTGCTATGGATAAGCTTCATCCTAATCAAGGACGAGGCTTTGCCTATGTAGAGTTTGAAACAGCAGATGAAGCAGAGAATGCAATGAAACACATGGATGGTGGTAAGTACAAACATCTCGAAGTTTACTAATTATTTGTCTTGACAAACAATGATGTAATAAGAAGGATAAATGTCTTTAGTCACTTTCAGTCCATTATAAATTACGATTAAGGTTTCAATCCTAGTAAGAGTCCTCTTTGCAGTCTCGATTTAGTATTGGTTAGATATACATTCTTTTGTAGTAAAGTCGATAAATTGAGACTTCGAGGACCTGCACCAGGATCATAATATTGATCATAATTCATTATACAGTTATGATGCACCTAATTGTAATTCTCACGTATCGATAACCAAGCATTTTGATTATGTAGGACAAATAGATGGTCAAGAAATCACTGCAGCTCCAGTATTATTACCAAAGCCACGACCGTTGCCGATGCGGAGGATGTCACCTTTGATGGGAAGAAGAGCGCCACCTAGATGGGGTGGCGGCGGAAGAAACACACCTCCGCGTTATCGTAGACGTTCACCACCGATGAATCGTCGCAGAAGCCCACGTCCACCTAGACGCAGACCACGAACACGATCTCGAAGTCCACCGAACAATCCACGGCACCGACATCGTCGCTATACGAGGTCCAGCTCTAGCAGCTCTCGATAGCAACCTTTGTACATATAAAGCAAGAACTGAATTTGACCAAACGCGGTTCAACTCTGCCTGGTCGTCTTAATATATTAAGCAAAACAATTTTTACTGATTCATTGGAACCATAAATGGCTGAAAAAAGTGTACGCACTTGAAACGATAGACCTGTCCGCGACTAGTGTTCACGGCGATTTACGTTTCCCAAATGACAAAACACTATTCGTGACTCACAAGTATTGCTTTCTCAAATATATAATAATTTCACATGTGTCAAATATATTGCAGTTGATTGGTACCTGAAAGTTGCTAACCCCAGGCAATAATTAAAAAAAAAAAAAGATAGGATGTATCAGACATTTTAACATTCAACAGTAGTAAATGTAAAACACGAAAAACTTCAGGAGAAATATTGCTATCAAGTACGTTATTTAAATGGAGATGGGCAGGCTATAGATAGAATTTCGAATAAAGTAAACAACTTTCATCCGTTTTCTTTTTAATTAGTTATTTATAGTTGCATGAATCCGTTTAGGAAATTGTAAAAGCTTATAATGTTTTGGGATGTTTAATATTCTCTTTTATATAATTAGAATTAATATCAGAGCGCAATCTATCGGCAGGTAATTTGTTCAATAATAATTACTTTGATTTATAAGATGAAATTATAATTTAAGTTGAATGAATAAAAGTTTATTCAAAGAACTGTTCGATGGAACAAATAATTGTGCAATGTTTTCATTCGTCAGTCTATTATTCGAATCAAATTTTGCCCATCTCCAAATATAACAATAATTCCATGAAATAGTAGAAAGAGGAATTTAATACTTTTTTATTATCGTAACACGTACTCTGTAGTATTTATCGATCAACCATAAATGTCTTTTTTTTTTCTGATGACAATGAGCTGTAAGATGTTTCAGGCTTGGTGAAAGTACTAAAAGAGACAGGAGTTTGATAGAAACTATGATTATTAGACCCTTTTACAAAGAATCAATTTTAGAAAAAACCTATTCACACAAAATCCTCTTTTATACTTCGCGATATCTACATGAACTGAATCATTGCATCACATTGCAACCTTGCATCGATGAAAAATATCTACAATTTTCAAATTGCGTATGTTCGTTAATTATATAATAATATACAGTTTTATGATGACTTCACAGTATAAACGAAACAAAATTAAGAGCCTGATTACTCGACAAAAGTTCGTTTTCTTTTCATTTTAGAGGTACCAGAGTGTTCCGAATTCTAACCTGGTCCATGGCACGAACATTGTTATTTTTTAGAGAGATCTTGAATTGGCTCTCTGGTAACGTGTAACGACGTACATATACATACATCTGTATATATATATGACTGACAATTGAGAGGACGACGAAAGAAGGGTGGAAAACCATATTTCTTTCTTCATTTTTGATAAAGATACAAAATCAGAAGTTGCAATTTTTCTACGTAGCGTTAAATGTGTTCTTTTGATTAAAGCACTTTGGCACGGACAAACTGCTTTTGTATTTGTTCACTCGCAAATCCCGTATTTCCCGATAAATATAAATTTTTCTTTTCATCTCTCTTTCTCTCTTTTTTTGTTCCTTTTTTTTCTTGAAAAATTGGGGTGACGCGAGTCTCGCCTCCGTTGTTTTTTTTTCTCTTTTTTTATCTCTTTATAATTTGTCCAAGAATTTGATTTACGCCTTGCGTCCGTCGCTCGATTTACTTACAAAATTACGGTGAAAAACAATTGCAATGCTTCTGAACGATCTTACTTTTTATATCACAGGAAAGCACCAGAGTGCAATTCTAGTCTCCATGCAAATCAGGGAAGAAGCAAGCTTGCGCTGCCATAAGCCAAAGGTACCTGTTTTCTTTTTGCCCTCTCGGTTCACTATCAATCCCTACGGTACAAATTAATCTCTACGAAGAAAATGAAAATTCATACGTAAACTTTTGTTATATTATATCGATTAAATTAGGGCAACATCATATTTTTTTTTTTTTACGATCGTATCCGTGCGTCAGTAGCAGAGATTCGTTTATACGTCGCAATAAATAAATAATTAAATAACTTTCGAGTAATGGTAGAGATCCGCATAAATTTTCTTTTAACTTGGATTCCTTGTTGTTTTTTTTTTGTTTTGTTTACGGTAGCATCGTCTCGCATTCTACAATATCTATAATATTACACACGATACTTTTTTTGTTTTTTTTTTTTAAACTGTACGCATAGTTATCGTAATGATTAAAGTTTATACCGCTATAAACAGTCAGATCCCCGAAACTCGCAGATAATCACAATTGTCATTATTTCTTTCATTCCGTTTCGTGACAACACATTTCCCTTTTTTTTTT